TTGGCGCCATTGCCACATGTATACTATCACATTTTGCATATAACTGGTCGAGGCACGCTCAACCAGGCCTCTTACTTTTCAAGTTTGATTAAACCTGTTACACCTACTACACGATACTAACTAACTAATACTGCTAGTGGTCCTCTTGGCCACGCCGACGGGCTGCCAGAGACTGAAAAACTGCGGAGCTCAAAAATTTGCTTCCACTTCAGTAAACTTCAAAAAAGGGATTAGCAGAACATCAGCAAAAGCGGCTGGCCACCCTTCAACCGTTGGTTCAAGCAACGTGCTTCTCTAAATCAGTTGCAGTGCGGGCAGCTGCCAGTGGGTTGGTGATGAAGCACTTTGTCTTGTCCTACAAACGAAGTGGTAGGCCAGCCATTTCCAGACTGATGAAGTAGCAAGTCGGAGGTAAGAAGCGGGTGACAGTCTCAAAGAAGATAATATTAGCGGTGGCTGAACACCTAGCGAAGAACCAGCAGCAACCCAACCGTGAGGAACGCCCTGTGGCACAGTGCTTCACTTGTTTGTGCGCACCGTAAAATACCATCATTTTTGCCAGTGTGGGGACACGTTCCAGCTCGCATAGTTCAAGAACAAGAGGACTCAATGTTGTCTGATTCGTTCCAACATGTCAGCTTTCATTGTAGTTTGATATTGGGCAGTGCTAAGCGCTATCACAGCTACATGTACATGTATCACAACCAAGTACCAACAGGAGAGTAATCATGGAGAAAAGTACCTATCGATAATGCGTGCACCCAGGGTTTTCCGGCAAATTTACTAGTTCAGCTATTCCATCCTTGTATTGTTCTGAACGCCGAGGGCTCTAGTGAGTTTATGCAACACCTAACAGCCAAAAATCCAATATGTTATGACCAAAGCAGCGGCAGAGAAGTACAAGCAATATAGATACGTGAATTTACCAATTTTAGGCAAATTTTGACAGTTTTTTGGATTTTTCTCCAGAATATGCACGGTGACCCCTATTTTCGCCGCGGTAAACCTGTTCCAACCCACTTATAGAATGTATTTGAAGTATCCACATATGGGGCAAACTCAAAATAAGCTGCAAAAAATATCCAAAGTTTCATTTTTTGCGTCTTTTTGTTCTTCTCCAGGTAGGCATCGGCGGCTAATGCTCGTTTTTTCACAGTATAATGCTTTTGGCAGTGCTCGATATTTCACGGCATAATGCCTGTTATAATGCTCCATTTACACTATAATGCTAGAGTGATATGTACATTTTCGAGCTATCTTGGGCAAATATGCACATGGAAAAGAAATGTGTCCACAATTGGCTCATACTGAGATAAGGCAGTGTAGTTGTATATGCATGACCACACTAGACAGATACATCTTACATGTACCTGCTGCATGTCCAAAAAGAAGAATGTAGAACGCAAGAGCAGCATGGCAGCTGATAAGGAAGACAGTCCAATTGCCAGAAGTGCAGCAGCCATCATGAATGACCTAGCAAAGTACATGGTGGAGTAATATAGCCACTGCATACCAGAACCACTCACAGTTCCAAACTCATGCGACCGCGGTTGTACTGTAGCATCAGCTGTAGTTCAATATGATCCTCCAGGGTGCGCTCTTGCTGTGACGTCATGGCTGCTTGTAAAAGGGAGAAGACTCGTTCAGCCGAAGCGGAAGACGGTGGCACCGTCAAAAGAACTTTGGCAGCCTTGCTCCACTGCGAAAGTTCAGCGTGCTCTCTCCACCAGGCCAAATCGTCGTCATTAGCGATGTCAGCTTCTGCAGCAGCAACCTTGTAGGGCGCAAGCTCCAGCTTCAAGTCGTTGATGAGCTGATCGTCATCTAACACCGGGAGTACACGTAGGGTATCGACCTCAGCTGGTGCAGGATTGGTCCTCGCAACGTACTTGGGGCATGCAAGGCGTGCTGCTTTGTACATTGCCACAACAGCATGAAGAGGAGACTCGACGTGGTTAAACTTGCGCAGGAAGTAGCATATGGCTGGCTGAACACAAGCTGTGGCATGAGCTGTCAGCTCCTTCTGTAGCTGTCGGTTGTCATGTGCGATCTTCTTCACCACAGCAGCAACATTGGGGTAGTAAGCATCTTGAGCTGCTGTAGCAACTTCTTGCAAGTGCTGGTAGGCATTGGTGCTGAGTGGTCCATCCCCCTCCAGGATGTATGTTTTCTTTACGAATGGCTCACCTGCATCAATTGTGACGGCAAGCTCAACTTGGAACAAATCGGCACTGTTTTCTGCAGTCTCGTTGTGCAGGATAGCTAGACAGTGCCTGCGTGCTGCTGGACTCCACTCACAGTTTGTCAAGAATGGCTCCACATCTCCAAAGTAGCGTAGGACCTGCGCCAGGACTTCATAAAGACTCCACCATCTGGTGTTACTGTGTGACTTCGGTGATACACCGGTTCTCGTTTTCCAGGCCAGTCGTGCCGCTGGGCTCTTTGCAAATAGGCTCACCCACCAGGTTGCGAACTCAGCCAGGACAGGTGTTGAAAAGCGGCGGCCAACATTGTCCAGGGCATGGGAGGCGCAAAGGACGTCCATAGCTCTGGGAAAGAAGAGGTTCTTCACCTGGTCCACAGCAACACCGTTCACTGCTGCTCCATCTCGAACAAATGCAACAAGTTTGCCATCTGCCAGTTGGAAAGTTGTGCTGAGGCAAGTTGCAAGCTCGCGTGCTAGCTCCAAACCAGTCATGGACTTAGCCAGCACATGCAAACGCACTAAACGTTGCTGCACTCGCCAGTCGTCATCCAGGAAACGCACTAGAATGGCAAAGGCCTCTCCAAGGTATGTTGTTCCGTCAAAAATGACAGCAATGTGCTGGGCCGTCTTCACTTCTTCCTTCAGTTTAGCTTTCTCTGTTTCCAACAAGAAAGGTATAATTTGCGCCAGATGGGTGCTGAACGTCAACTTGGCGTTGTTGGCCTCTAGAAGGGGTCGAAGGTAGTCCACCTTCGCTAATGCTATGCCAGCCTTCAACATTGCTTCCACAACGTTCGTGCGTCTCATGATGGTGGAGTCATCCATAGCCGTACTGAGGCCGGTGCCCTTCAACTTCTCCTCGTGCTTTTCCTGGTACTTCTTCCAGGAAGTTGTCAAAGTTGCCTGGTGAGCAGCCGCCTTTTTCCTTTGATCCTTGGCTCGACGATGGCGATCCGTTGAAATGTGGCCCTTTACGATGCTCTTCTTTGGCATCACAACAGTGTGACAAACGTCACAGAACAGCTGTCCGGCTGATATACACAAGTGCTCCCCTGGGAACTCTTCAATCCGTTTGGCGGAGTTGACGCGAGACACCGTCGTCGATGCCCCTCCTCGCACTCTTGTTCTGTTTTTTTTTGGTTTGGAAGACCGTTCAAATGACCTGGGCCGGGATATTGCTGCATCCTTTGCTTTGGGCAGCTCACATTCCTCTTCCTCTGTTTCCTCATCAGAGTCATCACTTAACTCCATTGTATCTTCATAGTCACTGTCCATGGTCGCTGCAAAACAGCAGCAGCTAGGTAAACATCCAACGCGACAACACGACACTCAACAGATGCAAGAGAGCCGTTTTCTTTTGAGCTTTGTAGTTTGTGCAGCTCTCTGCTCTGCGCCGAAAGAGCACATGCACACCGAGATCTCGAGAAACCTGTGTGCGCCAGGTCAAAGTGCATTACGCGAGCACAAAACGGACACAGGAGATACCCACACATACACGGTACTAGACTGTGTACAGTTCGAGTACACTACCGCTAGTCTGTACATGTACTATACTGTAGTCAGTACTATACATCATCATTGTACAGTCCTGGCAGATGAAATCCGAAGCGTCACAGTCTGTACAAGCCTCTTGTCATGTGAAAAGACGTGTAAAAACTAAAAAGTCTTGTATTGTACCAAAATAGAACTGATAATGCTTTCTCCAGCCAAAAACATGCCACCTAATGCCGAGCACTGCTACTTCTTCAAAACACCCATATAATGCTAGTTATAATGCTAGCATTAGCCGCCGATGCCTATCTCCAGGAAATGACGACCTGGATCCCATCGTCAACCAAAGTGTACATTTTTCGATGTTGATATCATCTTAGTCAATACCTCGAACAGTCCGTAAAATTTTAGGTCATATTATCTGTCCTAACTGATGTTATGGACGATTTCTCATCAATTTTGGGATTTTGTGTTATGTTGTGTCATCAAGAAAAATTGTGTTTTTGGCAAGACCTATTCGGGCAATTGAAAAGCTGATGTTACTAAGTGAAAATATAAGGCTGTAGCTAATCAAACCTTATGTCAGATTGGGCTGATGTTGAAATTAAATTTTTGGGCCTAACTGTCCCGAACCCCCTTAAGACGTGTAAAAGTGCAGAATATTGCATTTGGTTGGAAATGAGCAGAGTGTGTGTAGTGAATCTAGTAATGCATGAGGTTTTATCCACGCCTTCTTGGCTTCATTTCCACAAACTTCAAACTTTTGTACCCGTTATGATAGTACCCTACACCAGTGTACTCTCCATCACTACATCCGTACAATCCATTGACATTGACATAGTGACACTGGTTATACCACCAACCCACAGGTAAGGCCTCGTTTACGGGCAAAGCAAGCACCGGTGCTTGCTTGGTCCATGATGTGTTGTTCTGTTGCAATATTTCACTAACCTGGGCTGCTGTCATTGCTCTGGAAGCGTCGCGCTCTGTCCCGCTCATGCTTTGAAAGTGTGGAATGGCCATTCCCCCGAAACGAGTCGGCAGCCTGAGCATCACAAAATCCTCCGTGGTGAATGCATCTCGACCAGTTGCAGCCGGCAAGAACTCAGTTTCGATTACCTTGTCCAACGCTTATACTGCGTCCTCCGGAATGGGAACCGTACGAAAGAGGTAGACCCAACGACCCCGCAGGCCATGAGTCAAAGCTGCATAAGCCGCGTGAGGCTCTGTGCTGGCAAACTTTGCTAATGTGCGTAGCTCCTCGCACCAATCATCAACCCTCTCCCCCACTTGGCTGGCAACATCATCGGTTATACCACCGACCACCCCTGTAATTATTGGAACAGTCACTACTCCATGAGTCATGATCACGATCTCGAGTACTGAACTGTTGTCCATTGTTGTAAGTCATCCTGTCCACCAAGGTAGGGCTTGAGAATCCTGAAACGTGTAGTTTGTAATTGTTAGCTTCACCTTCAACACGGAATGTTGACCACTTGGCATAATGCTTCTCTGCAGTTGTTGCGAACACCATATCCATGCGCAGTTCATAAGTACTACCTGCTTGTGACGTCAGATAGTGTAGTGTACCTATACCCAGCCAGATCTCTCCAGAAGCTGATCCGAATCCTCGTCTGTATGCATTCCAGTCACGGTAAAAGTCCACTGATCCATCCTGTCTTCTCTGAAACACAGTCCAGCCACCTCCGTCAGTCTCTCGATCACAGTAATCAGCGAATCTTGTTATCGGTGTTCTGCCATTGAATACATCTGACGGACCAGAGTCGGTTCTCTGGCAGAGAAATGATACTGCAGAATTAGGAATCAGAATAGTAATATAGTCATTAAAGGAGAATTGTGCCAACGAAGTCCACAATGATTTACTGCAGACGCAACCTAGCCATGAGAAGAGAGGAAAGAAGCAGTAGCACAACACAACAATGGGAAGAGTAGGGGCTCCAAGAAGAAATCTATGCTAGTGAGACAAGCCAACAATAAACGCCGATCTGTGGTCTCGGCGTTACCGCTAGCTTGCGCAGCATGAGAGTTCGTATTTTGTATTCTTTTATTTTACTTCGCAAAGTCAAACGGGATCGTTGCCCAATAATATGACAGCGCAGGGTAGGGGGGGGGGGGCATTACATAATAATTCTCTGTCGTAATCAAATGTGTCGGTACTCAGTTGGGAGGGATAAAAGAGCAGAAGAATGGCAGAAGGCTAAAGAGTTGACGTGGAGTATAGATTTACGTGCCTATCACCAAAGCTACAAGTGACTGATCATAGCAAAACTTCCAACTTCTTGTTGAATTACCCAGTAGTGAAAATGTAAAATTGCGGTTGCAATATCTGAAGGTAGGCAGGCATAGTGGGATGGTCTAAGACCATGATCGAAAAACAGAGGGTACCAGGTTCAAGTCCTGCTTGGAAGCGGAAGGCGTCCAGCCAAGTCTAACGCGAACCGTGAATATTTTTCTCTAAGCCCGATTTTGGTCGAGTGAGCACAAACGGTAGGGTACTTAGATTCCTGGGCGCAAAGGTAATACAAATGAGCCTCGTTTCCGCCCTAAGCAGCTTTACTCTCCATAATTATACAGCAGCTATCAACCTCGCTCTCCATATTCCACTCACTACTTATTTGAAGTTGTATTATCACAGTATCGCAGATTCTACATTCTGCAATACCGACACGTCATGAATACGTCTTGAGAATAATTTAACATATCAACAACATTTGGCTTGACTTAAAGTCCGGATCATTGAAGGGGAACAGAACACGGGATATCTCACGACGTTCGGAGAACATTGCCAATAACCTCCTCTACAATTGAAAATTCTCGAAAATGAACCTGGTACAACTTCGCTGCATTGCGCCTGCTAGTTAATCACTCATGACATGATTAGGGCTCATTCGGCGAAATTCAAACGTTGTCTTCCCACTCAACTCGATAACGTTTGGGCTCTAATGCCTCTTGGAAAGGTGTTATCTCTCGCCTACCTCTAATCATGCCTCGTCTTGGCATGGAAAATTCACGGAATGAAAGTATGTCGGTCAAGTTGATAGTTACAGTGCTCTAGCCTCAACCCCCCCCCCCCCCCCCCACCGCTAGCTTTCCGAAGCACCTACCTATCTACCTACGTACCGCCGCCCCACGAGCAGGCGAAGAAAAGGCAGTATTTCGCCCAGGTAGACCTTGTCGAGATAGGATATTTCGCACTATTACAGTATTAGTGTTTCCACACTGTGACAGGCATGCGTGGCGGCGAGGCATCCCTCTCTAGGACGAACATGGTAGCTATCATATTGGAGAAGAATTATGATTTGCAGTATTCTGCTGTCATCGTCAGTTACGAGGTATTTTGTCACTGCGTCTGCTTATTTGGTCAATCACATGATGAGAGTCTAATAGAGGGTCATGGGAATCATACAGGCGCAGCGGTAGGGCCTTTGTAAAAAGCTGTATAAATGTTTGCCATATCAATTTCAATATTCCATTCAATATTAATAAATAATTGCATTTTACCTTCTTGATTTTCCTGAACTTCATTCAGCCTTTCATTCTGTGGTAAATCCCAGCAAGAACAATCAACAATGTAACTTTAAACATTTGTAAAGATGAGGCCATAATTAGATTTCTGACGATCACCAATTTGATTTGCTTTTCAAAATGCACAAAACTATAATTATGACTGTTTGGGAGTTCCCCCGTTTCGTCTCACTGGAATCAGTAGTACCAGAGGCTGAAGGAAATGATGTCTGCGATCGGGAGGATAACAACTCAGTTGTAGAACATTGCTGTCATGCCGAAGGCCTACAATAATTTTAAATACACATCCCAAGTTACATGTATATACCAGCCACTGCTCTCTGTTAGAATTGCAAACGAATGCAATCCTTGCATCGGCAGCTATCCTGCATAAGGAGGTGGGTTGACAGTTGAGTTCCTTCGGGCATGGTTTCCTCTAATCCTCTTGTACTTTCAATGACGGACTGAACCCGAATGGACACCCAAGGATACTTTATACTTGGTCCGACTTATTAAAATGTGCGCTTCGCTTCAAACCTCAAGCCTTTGTCCAAAGGAGCACCTGTACTAAAAAATCGACCAAGAGACGATAGATAGATTACTACTGTGTCGTTTCTTGGCCTGACCTTGTAGTTTTCATCTCTGCTGGCGTCTCAGGGTGCTTCTTCAAGTGCGTCAGCCTGCAAAACGTCGACATGTTTTCATCTCCAAGCTACACTGCGCTTCCTTGATTTTTTCACTCCATAGGCACGATTTAGACGATCGACTTCGCCTCCTCCTCGTGCAGTACGACTGCCACAAAGGTGGCTGTAGGTGTTTTCGCCTGACGCTCCCACGACACTTTCAAATGAGGCGAACAAGTAAACCACCACGCATAAAAAAATGACTTCTCATCAGCTTCTCATCATCATGTGCCGCGCGCGTAGAACTACTGAGTCTGATCTGTGTCGACATGACTGTCGACACAGTCAGCTGCATCAGACCATGCGTGCTCTTCCCTGCCTGTTTCACGAATCCACTGGCCCCGGAGACTGGCGATCTTGTGACGCATCGCGATCGCGGCTCCGAGGAGTCGGTGGGGACTCCGCACCATTCACGTATTCACCCTTTCTGCGCTTCAGTTTTCCAGCCAGGTTGTCGCCTGAAAGTCGACCGCAAGGGCGGTTGTTTATAACTTCTCGACAATCTCTTCTGTACTCTTGATTCGTCGGCCGCCACATCTTGAACGAATGCGAGAGAGATCAGCACAAACTGGACGGAGCGATGCAGGTGCTTTCTGCACGAGTTTCTGGATGACGCGTTTGCTGTTACTTGATTCTTCCAAGGAAACAGCGACTGCACTCGGCGATTTCAATCCGCCAGGAAGCACTCGAGAACGATCACCCAGGAGTTTCTGGTACTCCGTGACAATTCCCCATCGCAGTGGGGTGTTGATTTCAGCACCAGGCCTTCTCTGTGTTGCGCGAGAAGCAACAGGAGTCCTCGGACGACAAAATTTGCACGCAAAATACTCGAGTCGACTAAGATCCTGAGACGCTGCCTCCTTTGGGGTTGGAGCCATTTCTTCTTCAACATCACAAATCGACAACTGAAGGATAGTGTTAGGTAGCTGGAAAGTTTGTTCCGTCCTGAGATTATTTGAATTTGTTTGGCTGACGTTCGAAGCGAAACGCACATTTTAATATGTCGGACCAAGTAATTCTTAATGATGTTAGGTGAAATGCTAGTAAAGAAAAAATGACCAAGAAACTACAAGTTACGCAATAATGTCCACTAACACCACCAGTTACTAAACGATCAGCTCATGGGATAACATTGCGCGACACTAACCGACGGTACTGACGTTCTACAACAAACTTGCTAACAGCTCTAGCACATCTTGGAAGCGCACTCCAACAGCCTTCCAACTCGGAAGGTTCTAAATCATAGAAATAACATGTGGAGGGGAAGGTGAGCGCAACCAAGACAAGCACGAGCTGAAAGTATCAGCTGCGAAGGACGTTGGCGGATGTTCATGCATGTCGATGACGATACTGGCAAGACATAGTCGAAGTACAGTGCTGTTTTCATGAGGCATTTGGTTTTACATGATTCTTGTTCGCATAGCTTCCCTTTTTAATTCTATTGATCTTCGCGTCTTTGAGCTACACCAGTTGTATGGAATGTTCCTTGCGTCCTTGAACCGGGGTTTGACCGTATTGTCCAGTGGTCTTGCCAGTATCGTCATCGACATGCATGACCATCCGCCAACGTCCTTCACAGCTGAGACTTTCAGCTTGTGCTTGTCTTGGTTGCGCTCACCTTCCCCGCCTCATGTTATTTCTATAACTTAGAACCTTCCAACTTGGGAGGCTGTTGGAGTGCGCATCCAAGATGTGCTTGAGCTGTTAGCCAGTTAGTTGTAGAACGTCAGTACCGTCGGTCAATGTCGTGCAATGTTATCTCATGAGCTGATTGTTTGGTAACTGGTGGTGTTAGTGGACATTATAGCGTAACTTGTAGTTTCTTGGTCCTTTATTTCTTTACTATCAATTCACGTAACATCATTAAGAATTATCATCATAACAATGATGCACGTTCCACCTTTTGTGGCTGAATGCTTGCACGGTCGGTGCCAATCTCCAGGCTTCGGACGAATGCTGATGAATATTCATCAATATTACAGGAAAACACGTCTGTATGTCATTGTTTGGATTGTATACTGGCAGATTACATGCACTCATAAAGCCTTCACTAACTTGTAGGGGAAGTGAGCCTAACTTACACAAACTCTGGTTCAGTCATTGCAAAGTTACTTATAGCTGGGTAAACACATGTTCTACTAGTACAATTGACGCAATCCACTATATCATGAACTCACCAGGGCGGTAACTTGAGATGACATCTGATTCATAGTGGAGTTTACATTGGTAAGAATCTTCGTACCCAGTTGTTGAAGATATGAATCAATACGATTGATATCATCTCGTCTTCCTGCACGTAGTTCATGTTTCAGTTGTGAAACATCGTCACTGATTTGATTTAATGTGTTGGATTGCTGTTTAAACTTAGCTACATCCAACCACTCTGGAGAGCAAACAACACAAAATTCACGGTTTGTATAAGACTCGATCGGGTTTACATTTGCATCTTCAGGAGCACTGTTTATCCTCAATCATCGCCACGCATGATCGAATTGCTAATAGTTTTCCAAATCGCTTTCATTACCTTTTTTTATCAGTGTATTTTGGTGACTAAGCCAAGCGATTACTGCTTCCAAAATCATTAAAGATTCATTCTACGTTTTACAATTATTAGCAACGATCATTCAACGGTGACCGAAAGCATTTCCAGTACTCTCCAGAAGTCATCTTTTTACTAGGTAATACCTTTCTTACATATGTAATGATACATGTGTGTACAGCGTGGTCATTAGTTTCTCGTGCAAGACAGTTTCTACTACAAATACATAGTACAGAACTGAAAAATTGTATATTTGAAAGACAAGCTGCTTGGAAATCGGTTGTTTGCAAGTGGAACAAAACTGACAGGAAGGTGTGAAGCGGCAAGAGGTAAAATGATTAGCTTGGACATCATTGCCATACACAGCTTCTCACGTGTATCACCCAGGCAACTCACAGCACACTAGAAGGTGGATGGTAAGAAGATATGAAGGAGATGTGTCTTATTGGTTAGGTCACAACTCATTTCCAACGTCCCCTCCCCCCCCCCCCCCCCCGAAACGCCCTATTAGATTATCAGAGAGTTGGAAGCATCAGCCGACACTGATTTTGTAAACCGCTTGAATTTGTTCGTTGTAATGATCCATCTGCCAACGACGTAAGACGTTAGTAGCATTTACTGATGCTTCCTTGTGCACCAAGGATACATGGTGGAATGTCTTTGGAAGATAAAACGTCATTGTGTTTGATTATGATGCGAGCCAAGATAAGGATAAGTGATCGGTATTAGAGAGGTTTCGACCCGCGTGATTTGTTCTCTTACGTGAACGTCAATTTTTTGCGTCGACGCGAGCTCAGAAAGAGCTTTCAATTCACGTTGCTTGTGAAGCACGTCGTGTCGCTGACGACAGGAGCGAAAACTGGGAGCGAAAACTTCAAAAGCGAAAAAAGTGATTTTTGGTGAGGCCGAAGTCGCACAAATATTATTTATAGCTAGTTTAGGCAAAATCGACAAATCGAGTCAATAATCCCAACCTGATAGCAAGGCTAAATTTGCAAAAACTCGCGTTCACGTCGAACGTGAGGTGACCTCAGCTCACGTCATGAACGGGAGTTTCGACGCCAAAATTTGCCACACCGACGTGAAATTTCACGGTGTAGTGCAGAACAACGTGAAGCGAAACCTCTCTATTGTGAACATCATCCCTTCCTAATGATTTCTTGAACACACTACAAACAACCTTCCACTTGATCAGATCAGCATCAACGTGCTCTCTTTTACACACTTACTTTCTTCACAACGTGTTCCAATGTACAGTGGTGGACAGTGACAATGAAACGATGATTCTCTCTGTCGACATGTTGCACCGTTCTGACATGGATTACCAGAGCAGGATGGCGGTACTGTGAGGTAGGGATGGCAAACAAAAGAAGAACAGGATGAAAGAATTCATTCAGAAAGTGATGAAGGAAGCAGCATTTTGAAGTGATAGTTTCGCATATCACAACACATAAATAAAATAACACTTGATCTCCCATCTATCGCGTGCAACCGTACAAGTAAAAGTAGGAAATGCAATGTGTTTGCTTATCTTAGAACAGAGTGAACGAAAATATACCACAATTATACACATGCTTCCATCCCAACAATGGTCTCTGATTACCGCGGGGAAAAATCATGATTGGTTTTGTGCCCCAACAGAAGTAGTTTAATAATAACTACCTGTCACAAGATCTTCACAAGATCCTCAACAAGAAATCGGTGAAGGTGAGCTACAGTTGCTTACAGTTGCATCATGCGTGGACACAACAACAAGCTACTCAGCCCACAACAGGAAGACGTGCCATGCAACTGCCGAGCTAAGCCTGACTGCCCTATGAGAGGAAAGTGCCAGACACAGCTGCTGGTGTACACAGTACACAGCCGAAGTGAAAAGCAGTAATGTTAACCCAGGACGTGTGTACTTCGGAGCAACAGAGCTAACGTTCAAGACCCGGTACGGAAACCAAAAGTACACATTCAACCACAAGCAGAGAAGGAAGAGCACCGATCTATCCAAGTAAGTCTGGAAATTGAAGGAGAGACAGGAAGACTAATCGACCCAGTGGAGTGTTTTGGAACGAGCATGAGCTTACAGCAACATCAGCAAGAGGTACCAACTCTGCCTCTCGGAGAAGTTCCAGATGATAACCGCGGGTAGAGCAGCATGTGTCAAGAAGAGAAGTGAGCTCATCTCGAAGTGTAGACATTCCAACGAATTCTCGCGCGGAAACCACGCTGGGTTCACATGATGAGATATGCAGTGTTTTGACACACACACAAACACACACACACACATGCATGTACACACACACATTCTCTGTCTCTCCCTCTCTCATGCACCCACATGTACACCCTCACTATTTCACACTCACACCAAACCAAATATTGCGCCATTATCCACACTAGTATCTACTATGTCACACATTCTACCCAAGCCTTTGGCGTCACACAACTCCCACTGAAACCTACTTAATTTCTGCGCCGGTTCTACATGTATCTCCCATCTTGGTTATAGCAATATACCTCTTATTATGTTTTATCGTCTGATGAGTGTTTATCAACACGAAACACGGAGTTACGAGTAAGATTTTTGGCCTCTGTTGTTTTGCCATGGATGCAGCTAATGGGGTCGTTCTCGGTACTTGTGCCAGTGGTTGTGAGACTTATCCACTCACCCCCACCGTTAGGCGCTGCATCTGCCGCTAGGGTTTACCGGGTGTTAGCGGCCGTCGTGAGTTCCCTTCGGGAACGGACACGAAAATTAACTTTTTTTTCTTTTCTTTTTTGTTCTGCCTCATTTAATTACCTGTTTGACAAAACTTTCCGGTATGACCATCATCACATTTGCAAACGTATGAGCCTTTTCCTTGTAAAGAACGTGTGAAGATGCACTTTCCCGCATCGCCACACTGGGGACTTTGTCGACATTGCTCAAGCTGACCACCTGCACAAACCAATAATCACGTGACAAAATGTGGCCAGAACAAGTTAGGAAGAGAATTCTAATACGACAGCAGAACACAAGAGCTTTGTTTCTGCTGAATGATCCAAAAGAAGGCAATGCAACAGGCGTCAAAGGATATTGAACTGGTGACGTGCACATCCAATAACTGCACAGAGTGTGTCTGGTCCTCACTGCAAATAGTGCTATTTTCCCTCTGCTAAAACGTAACGTACATAGAAGAAACAACAGACTGCTGCGGATTTCGAATGTTCTTCTGAGTTTCGTGCATGAGGTGATCTGTTGGTGAATGAAATTGGCGTAACTGCTGCCGTGATAGGACTCCATACACACGAACATCGAGTTGAAAACTTCGTAAAAACATGACATCGTATGGTTGTATAATTATAATCCTCTCGATTCTCTGGATAGAAAGCAGAATGGAATGAGATGATCAATACTAGACTTACTCAGACACTGTACCAGCAAATCAGCATTCTGCTGTCCACCTAAGAACGCAGATAGTGATGCTGTGTCAGCATTTGCAGAGTTGAGCTGATCAATGGGGTTATGTAGACCACTTAGCACAGTCTCTGTATCCTGGATGCTGAGACGAAGAGCGGTAGATGGTAGTAGATGAAGAACGCGTGCCATACACGACTCAGTATCACCTTACGGGCAAACAAAATAAAGAAAAATTGAATCATTGCAAAGCAACAAGTACATTTGTACGTGGAAGAGAATGAATATTTCATTCTGTTACCTTCACGCACTAGGCCATCACCAGACAACTGTGAACAGTAGTGAGATAAATCTGTATGCTGTTCTTGTTGAATCCTCGCAAAGCAAATGAATGGAGTATTTGCATTCAGCTGCAAACGTGATAGTTCATTTCATTCATTCTCATTGAAGGCGACAGTCGTATCGAAGGTAAAGAAAGAGCGTAGTAGAACTGAGATACTGAAGAGTGTCAGCTTTCTGACCAGATGACTTGTAATGTTCAAGTCGGTGCAGTAGTATAGAGCCTATTAGAGGAATCACACTGGCAATGCCCCTACCTGTTTCATTTGCAGCGCTGGAGTGGTTACCTGCAGAAACACTCCTTGCAGACACACTACTGACGGAGGCCGCCAGCCACAATGCTATCCACATAGAGAACGGCGTAGTGGACGAGAGTCTCATTGTGCCTTCGATCAGGGCTGAGTCGCTCACCGAATTGTTCGGATTATTTCTAAATGTCGCGAATCAGCTCCACAAATCGGTACATGTGAGGCGCTCCGACTTCAGAAATAATTATTGTTTACAATGACGACAGTATCCCTACTGGTGCTCTAAGAAATAACGACCTTTGTACAATTGCTAGCAGTAAAAATCATGAATATGATCGTCGACGCTCGCTTTCCCCAGTCATCTGCATAATGGAACTAACGCAACGTTAGGTTCTAGGTTCAAGCAGAAGAGATTCGGTCAATCTGTTAGTTGACACAAACTCAGTACGGGTGCATTGATCGCATCTAGAAGAGTGAAACGTGTCCAGAACCTGGCACGATCTTGCACACAAACTAACACTACACTTTCCCGTCCTCTCTTGTGTATTCTGCAACTGGATGCTTGGACAGCTGGGCTCCACAGATCTGCAGTCGATCATCTTACCTGTCATGATGGAGTACAGAGCATCTGTTCGACATGTCATTGATTTACAGGCTCCGGGCTTTCACCCTGCTGCTTGCCAACAAAATTAATGATATTATTATTATTATTATTATTATGCTCTATTCGCGTTAGCATCAGTGAGCTTATAAAGCTCACATATAGCCTTCGCTTAAGCCGCAAGAAGGAGCAAGTGAGCGCGAGGAAGCGCAATGCACACAGAGCGTCAAAACAAAACAAAAAACAAAAAAACAGAAAAAAAAGAGACAAGCTGCAAGAAGGAGCAAGTGAATGCGAGGAAGCACAGTGCACATCAAGCATCACAATCACAAAAAAGACAAGATGGAAACGCAAAGTTATGTCCATTGTTGCATTAGCGGCTACATACAACCTTCACCAGGTCCTGCCACTGAGGGCGATCCTGGGCGAGCTGCTGCAGCCTGTTGCAGTCATCTCCATTATCTATATATAAAGGTATAAATTATGTCCATTGTTTCATTAGCAGCTACATACAGCCTTCACCAGTTCCCGCCACTGTTGACGGTCTTGGGCAAGCTGCTGCAGCATGTTCAAGTCATCGCCAGTCTCTAGGGCGGTATTATTTTTCAGCTTTTTGAGATCATTATTGAGCGTTCGCGGGAGCGTTGTTCTTGGGCGTCCCCTAAAGCTGGGGCCGTTACCCCCTAAGAAGTAAGCTCCCATGGCACGTCTGGCTGGGGCTGCCTCTTCCAAACGCAGCACATGACCAAACAGCCTCCATCTAGCATCTCTGATGATTTGGCTCACGGGACGAGATTCTGTGCGTTTATACAGGGAAGTGTTCTTTATTATGAGCGGGTATTTAATGCCTATCACTGTTCGCAGCAAATTAATGATAACAGAATCATTGTGTGTGCTGGGAGCGCTGTCATCGTTTCTTTGGCGCCAAGGTGCCTCAGTAATGATAATGATGTAATTTCAGAAGCAAGAATTTCTGTCCGCTAGATACTGTAACAGACAATAGACAATTAGTCTTACTGGATATACTGATCTACCGTTGTTGGAGACTGCTGGACACAGTGTAAGATACTTATTGTGATGTTTGCTGACGTTGTGATAAACTGTGATGCTCTACACAATATTGTTTGGTGTGTGTTTGAGCTGACTGGTTTTGCCGTACTTGACAACAAAAGTATCTTCATATTTGGCTTCCCTCGTGTAGCTTCAGAGAAATGTAGACTGCATTCAAAGCCTTGACAACATCCAAATCCCTTTTTTTTTATTCAAAACCTCCCTTTTATGGAATTGTCTCCCACCCACATTGACTTAGGAATCTTCTGTCCATGTATTCAAGAAAGAGCTGCGCAAACATTCTTGTCATTATTCATGTCTACTCGCTGGCATGCCGTTACCCTGTTCATCGTAGTCCTCCCCCCCCCCTTCCCAATCTGTACTCTCTTGTACCATCATCCTTCAATGCGACGGACCCCACGATAGGCGGTCAGCCTTTGGGTCATCCTAATAAAGTTATTATTAGTATTATTATTATTCATTCATTTTCTAGGTCGCACTAACACACACACGCACGTACACACACACACACACACACACACACACATACACACACACACACACACTCACACACTCACACAGCCACATGCACCATGTATCATGCATGTACCATATATACGCTCGTCGCAAGAGAAGCACGCAAATAATTTACAAAATGTATTGCATTTTTTCTGCACCCACAGGTTTTCTCTCATACTATAGTTATGGCAACGATAAGGGACAAGATCTGAATGCAACAGATCAAGTCTAGCGCCAGATAAATGTCCAATCTACACAATCTTCGAAGCCAGGCGAATCGACCACCAACTCACACCTGGTCTACACCACACGGCCGGAGTACATAGGCATGAAACGGCCAAGACAGTTGCCTGTGCACACTCTACAGTTGCTGGGGGAACCAGTATAGACAGCACGCTGCTTTGATAGAAGAAGACACTACTAAATCTGAGGACAGAACTGTTTCGTCCTTTGTGGACTCATCAGTGCAGCACAGAGGAAATGAGGCCGAACCGGGTAACAATGAAAAACTTATTCTCCAAAGCCAGATATTATAAACCAGGCCCGAACCTACCTTGTCAGAGTACTCAAACTGGCAAGTCAGTGAGCTCTGCATAACGCGAACATCAAAGGCACTACCCCACAAGAGTGCTCAAATGCTACAAGAACAGAAGCGAAATAAAAAGCAGACACTAACTAATCAGCCTCGGCTACCGAGTACTGGGAACCCAGAGGCAACAGACGTACCAACAACCTCAGCGATGAAAGCTATAATAATTGCACAATGGATTGTGGACCCGAAACTAGTACTGCCTTCCAAATGCTTTGACAAGAAGATAGCCTTCCAATAGGTTGGCACACACACACACACACACACGCACACACACACGCACACACAACACGCACACACACACACACACACGCGAACGCATACTACTACTGTAGCTTGGTTGCCACAAGGGCCACACCACTCCGAAAGGAGCCAGAGTCACTGTCAGGAGCAGAAACGGAGATGACGACTCAGGTCACTCTGTCGACGGAACTGACGGTTGCAGCGAGAACAGCGAACACCATACGACGCTCTATCAGACTTGGTTGCTCGATGGCCACGGTCGCACTTGTGACGTCTGAAACCAGGCACTGACTTGAATTGCCGATTGCATGTCACACACAAGAGAGAAGTTGGGACGTTAAGCGGTATAGGTGATGCCGGCACGGACGCTTCCGATGGCTCCAGGGGCAAACAATGATGTACACGCAAGCCACCACGAGAGTGAAACCACCTCCTGCATGTACCACACTGCACAGCACCACGCTGTTCCTGGATGGGGAGACTTCGTTCTGCGCTACACTTGTGTCTTGCTTTGTCACCTGGCCGACAAAACGAACGGTGGCAGATAAGACAGTCCACCCGTTGAGATTGGTCATGGGAAGGACCGCCGAGGCTCGGTCCAACGGCAGACACCCACCAGGCAGATCGATCCTGAGCAATCCCATACCAAGCCAGATGTTCAATGCCGATGTGCCGAAGATCAGCGGAAATCACATCCCTCCAGCGACGACGGGGACCACACGCAGGCCGAGGCGACGGTAGGAAGCCAAACAACAGCTGCTTGGGCACTCGAACATCCGACATGCGGGCCACATGTCCAAGCCATTCAAGCCTCCGCTTCCGAAGCCGGGACGCATACACACACGAACGCATACACACACGCACACACCCAAAACTTTCTTGAAGTAGAGTTCCACGAACTACAGTTTACAGAAGGCTCTTTTCATGAAAATTAATGACATGACATTCCAGAGTGACGTAATCAAGTAGGGTACCCCACTGGCCGGAGAATGCGCGATGCCCTTGTACGGCAGAGTATTGAACGCAGCCAGTAGAGGGAATGTATGAAGATATGTTACAAATCTGAGTGTCACGTTATGAAAGATTTAGTCGTCCATTACTGGTAATCTGAAATTAAGGAGGAGCGAGGCAAGGAGGGGAAACAATAACACCACCTTTTGGTTCAGATGATAAGACCATAGAACGGTGGACTGCGAGCCATTCAGTAGCGGTGCAATGGTGGTATACATGCATGAAATGCAATGCATCGCTGAGAAGACTCGGACTGCCTTCTAATGTTTTCCTTGTACACATGATAGGCATGTGGCCCGCAACCTCGGTAGGATAGACTACATTTTTGCGGCCCTGCTCCCACCGCTGCTTTGGCAAATCAATTGACATGTTTCTAAACCACTCATTCTCTCTACAGTAGGCTCTATCTTACCGTTGTGTCTTTTAAGTAATAAAAGTAGGAGCCGCACATAATTCAAAGTAAAAGATATAGAGGTACCATGAACAAGTTGTTTAAGTACTTTAGTTTCCCTTTCAATTTTCACAATTACACATTCCACTGGGTGGGTACTAAGTGTAGTATCCCTGCCTGGCTAATATGGAAGTAATACGGAACTAATACGGAACTTTACCTGATGTATATTTTAGTGTATCTCCGTATGTAAGCGTACGGCGTCTGTTGCATAAAAGCTGCTGCGCATCTCTGTTTTCATTAGATTTTATAGCAACGACAAACCTAACTCGAAGAAGAAGTAGTCAACCTCCAGGCGTGCACCGGAGAGAAATTTCTATTTATTTCCCCCTTCTTCTTTTACTTACTTATAATATATCCCAGGTGTGTACCTGAGAGAAGAATAATAAAAGCTAACTCGTGTTGATTGCGCCGCGCCTCCACTCGACTACCATTACACTAGGTTCACGAATATAGTACGAGTTGTGAAGGTGCAGCCTTCCACAGCCTTTGTTTCCCGCTTCGGAACACCAATGACGGATCCGAATTTCTCCATCGCGGACGTAATGACCGACAGTGGGGTGTCATCCGCCACACCAAATATATGCAGGGACACAACTGCTCCATCACCAACTACTAATACTAACTGTTTTCCTTCCAATTTTAACCCTCTGGACAACACCTCGTCCCTAACGGCAGTGCAGGAAAACGAAACTCTACAGAATCCGCGCCTTACACTCAGATCCACCTGCTTGATATCATCAGGTCTTACACCACCTGACAGAAAACGTCT